CTCATAAACAATGATTTAGGTCGAAAGATCTTTGATGAGGAAAGCTACAATTGGACTGATCTCGCGCGTTATTGTTCTCTATATAAAGTCCAACAGTCAATCAACGTCAAAGTAAGTGGAATTCAATAATAGCCAATACACAAACGAAAGGACGTTTAGAAGTTGGATCAAGGATTTCATCAAATTCGAAATTTTTCAACTCGGTTTTGATCGGAGTACTTCCTACTATCACGTTTATTTATAGTATAGCATGTACTAAATGAACGTAATTAGTCGCATCAACAGTGGATAATTACCGACCATTATGACCACACGCGAAATAGTCGACAGACGATACATGCTTCTATTGTTATTAATAGTCATTCCTTATATATTTAGTACACTTAATTACGTGATTCACCGAGACATTCGCGAAAATGTTCCGCAGCAAGATCTTGAATATTAGGGATATAATAATACTGCGATGTATGGACTATCGTTAATCAGCAATCGGTAAGAGCTGCGTAATGTGTTTAATCTTCTGTTTTTATCAGATTTTTTTTTTTCTGAATTTCCCTCGTTGATCTGTATTCTTTTGTATAATACAAACACAACTGATGGTTCTTAAGAATCGCGATCATAAATGAAGAAACTTTAAAAATTCTTTCCTTTTCGGCAATCACGTAGAAGAACGGAGCAAATTTTATAGCTGTTTTATCTCGAATACGCGTATGTACTTAAAACGTCATATAACAAACAGTGTAAAATTCAATTCGTCCTATTTTTACCGAAGATTTTCAAGCGAACTCTTATTTGCTTTTGCCTAAGCAGAACAACAAGTCGTTATAATATCAAAATGATATTAAAATAACTTTAAAATGATCATTAAAAATCATCTTTTATTCATTTCTGATTCATTTTAATGTTTTTTAATTATCGTGTTATCGTGACTTGCTGTTCTGCTTGGGTGTAGCATATGTCTCATAAACTACTAACAATCTGGATTTATTTCGTGATGCAGTTTGGGGAACTGGCTGACAAAAATCTCTGAATTATATCTAACCGGTTTGGTAGCATAAGAGAAATTAAATCTACATTGATATTCAACGTTAAATGTCATCATGGACACTAGAGGAATTAAAAGAAACGATCTTATTCGCCCTCTCTATCCTCATCTTGATAAAAAAATTATATTATTTGACTTTTTTGGAACGTATACTTGAAATTATTGACGCATTACTAACCTTGGAACAAAAATTAAAACTCGAAATTATTTCATTCCAGTCTGATTCTAGATTTCTGTTGTACCGGGTACAGCTACACTGTGTGGCGCTGTTTTTAAACACCACAATCCTTTTTCCTCCAAATGATAAACAATGTTTGCGTTTTTTTTCCAAATAATGTCAATACTTCTTCTGTTCTCCTATTTTTTCGTTCTCTCTTTCTTCCTTTCTTCCTTTCAAATTCCAGATCTTTTTTGATTGATTATTCGCGAATCAATATAATCGTAGCTTCCATTATCTCGGACGAATAGAATCGATAGAGGGCAAGAGTACAAAAACTTTCAAACTACTCTTCGAAAATTTGCCGACTGAATATCCAATCTCACGCAATAGATTCCTGTCGGGAAATTTTAACCGTTTGGTTTCTTATGAGATACATAGCGCGAGGTTTCACCGCGCGATGACGCCAAGAGTACGCGTTCCTAGTGTTCCTGGGCTTCAACGACGGTGACATATGCTGTCCACTGTCCTTGCCTTTCAAGCGCGTGGATGTTAGCCGGCTATCATGCACGAATAGACGCGAGCGAAGTGGGACGCTTCCGTAAGCGACGACCGCGATCGACTGAGCCGCAGCTCGACAGTCTCGACACCGTAGCGACGATTACGTCGCGAGACACAAATCACGCGTACTTTCGCTAAAATAAGGCACCATTGACGGTAGCACAGTCAGTTTGTACAGCTTACAGCGATTTAAGTGTTATCGATCAAGAGATACTGACTGGGGAACTTTGTTTATAGTTATTAGGCCGGTATTCGTAATCGGCTTTTATTTTAAAACCATCTAAGTGTAATATCTTAAAATTCTAATTCTGGCTCTGTGATTGCTTTATGATATCTTAAGACTGTACTTAAAACGGTCTTAAATATAAGAACCGGTGAATATCGGCCTAAAGCTCGTGTCGCATTACACATTAGAGATTGAGAATTGCGAATTAAAACATTCAGTCAATCAGAACGAAACGGATTAAAATTAATTATTTGACTGGTCGAATTCTAATCTCTAATTCGCAATCCTTATAGTGTTTTTGACCGTAGCGGCTTTGAACTGACCTGAGTTAGATTAATGACGTCACATGCTCTATCAATAGTATGCAATATCATTAATCCAACTCAAATCAGTTTAAACCTGGGCTACGATCAAGAACACTATTAGTCTCCAATACGTAGCGTAACATGGCTCTCCACATTTACAGCCGTATTAAATCGATGACGTCATTGTGAGAAATAAATTAAAAATTCTTACTTTTATATTTCATATATTAAAAGATTAAACAGTTTTATATATAGATTAAAACATAAATTAATTTTACACCATACGATGATATAGAGTAGTCAGTCATATATTTAATATATTTTTTTCTTTTTCTATTCTATATTAATAAATACATGATTTAATATCTGCGTGTATCAACGTGTCCTATATTAACAGAAAAAATAGTATTTGGTGAAAAGGGGAATTTTTTGCTATCGCATAAAGAAGTTCCGAAATGTACGAATTATGTATCGTTAAAGGGTTACTTAAGTAAAATCGAGTAGTGTATTATTTATCATGAGGAAACCTCGGGAGCATGGAAAAATTGTTATCAAAGACAATAAACTCGAAAAATCTTGTCAAGTAAGATATCAAGATATTACGGAAATTAAGCAATAAAAGACTGTATTATAAGTACAAATACGTGCAACTTGATAACTTGTTCGTTATTCAAAGCTAAAATTGGAAACCAACGATTATTTTGTATCGGATTCTCCGTCGCTCGTCAACTTTTTGAAAATCTCGTACAAGTTATATATTGTTACTCAATAACAATATAGTCCTTATTGCTTAATTCCTAGATGTTTAATATTAATCTTATTTAACAACTTTTTATTATAATAAAATGTAATAAAATTTATTTTCTTTAATTACAATTTCTCTTATATTTCCGATATTTCTCCATGATACATCGCTCGTCTCCGCTTAAGGCTTAAGTTGTAGCCCTTTTATAATTTGTACATCTCTCGAAACTTCATGTTCACTAAAAAGCAGTCAAAAATTTAACATACTCTTTTGCAACTATTTATTAGTATATAATTATATATGAATCGAAATGAGAACCCTGGTAGAAAAAGTTTTTACGAAAAAGTACAGAAAAACTACACCGATTAAGATAAAATTAAGATAAGATTCTTGGTTTTTCGTAGATGTTCATAGTGGGAAAAATAAAGTGGGGTTCGTTTATCTTAGAAATTCTGAATTTTTTGTAAATATTCGTGATACACAAGATACGAAAAAATTTTCCATAAAAACTCATAATACGGCGTCAGAAGACGTATACCGAAAGAGCGGAGGATTTATTGGTTTTTCAAACAAACAATGTCACTCTATTCCCCCATATTACAAATATCTACGAAAAACTAAAAAAGATCTTGTCTCATTCTATATAATTTTTCGTAAAAATTTTCCCGCCAAGGAGTCCTAGATATCTTCACTAATTGAATTATTATCAAATATACGTGGTGGTATGCAAAAAAATTTTATTTTGGTTGCAAGAACGAATTTTCTCATTTCTATTCAAAATGGTTGTATTAACAAAATCGAAACTGTAAGGATTGCTTCGCCGTCGAGCAGTTTTGATGCTCAAATACAAATCTGTAGAATAAAAAATGATAACCTCGCCGAATATGGCAAACGATAAATAATCCTCTCCTTGCAACATCGATATAAATTTTTCTTATAGCAAATCTCTTTAGCCATTTAAACACAAATTAAATGAACTACGTCAATCAAGTTAGTTTCTTTTTACGTTTTTTTCTAAATTTTAGCTGCACTGTTAATGTTTTAACATGTTAATGTCAATTTGAAAAAGAATTACAATAATCATTTTGAATGAACATTTTCTTTATTAATATTATTATAAATGTACAATAATATATATACAATTACACTTAGTTCGATTCACGATATATTAATAAACGAATGTTATGCTTTCACTTTATTCCTTCTGTATAATGAGATAATGAGAATTACATATTGCTAATGAAATTTGAAAGCTAATAATTATGCTTAACTTGCAAACGCGAAACTCTTTATATTATGCAACATGCAACATCATCGAAGTGGAATGTAATCTTTGATGTATAAAACTGCTACGTATAATCGTGCCAATTATCAAAATCATTCGTGTAAGCTTTTTATTTTTAGTTTCGCTTATTCAGTTACGAATAAGTTTTAGTTACAACCTCGTGAGCATTTTGTGCGTATTTTTGTATAAAATATGTTTATATAAATTTATATGTCTGTCTGTGTTCAAAACTTGCACTAAGTGCGAATATTGCACCGTGAAAAAAAGTAGAATCGTTATCTATAAATTATGTACAAGCATACTATTTTTTTCTCAAGCGATCAATATTTGTTTTAATATATTGATGAAATATTGAAATTGTCCATGAAATTTGTTTTGCGTCATTAATAAATATATATGTATATATATATATATATATAAATAAAGGCAATACGATTATTATAGAAATAATTATTAATGAATATCGAACATGAGTAATACCTTCATCGACAATAAATAATGATCGCCAGAGTGCTGTTTCTTGTTCCACGGAGAAAAAGTTGACTACACAGGGTGAACAATTAGGTGAGTAATGATTAGGTACACATATTTATATTTTCACATTATATTTTTATACAGAATATATGAATAGAGAGAAAACAAAAAAAAAAGGAAAACATAAAATACAAAATGCGCATGGAGACAAATAATTTATGTGTATTCACAGGTACATTATCGATCCTTAAATATAAAAATTGTCAGCTCTTAACGTGGAACAAGATCAGTAACAAAAGTTACATAGAAAAAAACTTCAATACAGTCTGTAATCGATAAAAGGTAGTTCATCACAGTTTATGTTGTCTTCCTTCGCCAAAGAGCCATAGGCAAGCTCTGTCGACTATATACGCGAAGACAAAATCCGCGACTAGTATTTGAACCAATGTCGTACGGAACTGCAACACGCAAATATTATAAATATATATGTGGCAAATAGATTTAACGACAAATAAATTACATTAAGTTTAGTTATTGTTATTTATTTATTATTATTTACGCGTAAAACTTACTTGGTTTGGAAAGTCTACAATCTCGAACTGCACCGCAAAATCCGGCAAGAATCCACAAGGTAGTAATAAAATAACGGCAAAATTGCCCACGAGACTGAATAAGAGAGTTCTATTTTGTGTTAAACTTTCCATAAACGGCTGACCCTGTCACAACATAATAGTATTTATTGTATAATGATATCGTATCTTTTTTAACTGGGTAATAGAATATAATGGGCAACTTACTCGATAATTTATAGCAAAAGTAGAAACTTGGAAACACATTGCGATTATGTATACGGTACTATTAATTAAATTTGCCTCAAATGGCTCTTCCTCAATACTGTCATTTCCTTCTAATGAATTCACTTCATTGGTAGTATTGAAGATGGCTGCCAATTTATTATCCCTACAAAAGAAGTAATTTGAAGAACATGGTCAAATGATTCCGATTAACACAACTTACTTTGGAGATAAAATTGTAGCTTCTTTCACCAAATAAACGAGACAGATGAAATGTACAGTAAATTGCAATAATACAGTTGCAATGGTATACAAATTGAAGATATTTGGTAGCGGTCTTTGCTGCGAAAGAGTTTTCAGCGGTTTTGATCGTGAGATAAAAAGGAAACATGCCGCCAGAAGGACACCCTGCAAAGTCGCCTGCGCGTCACTAAATTTGATTCCATCCAAATATAACACTGACTGACTGTAGGCGAGTATCAGTGCATTCAGTGCCAATATTTTGAACATCTGCAGGGTGGTGACCAGGGTGCAGCGTCCCTGCTTGATCACGTGACATACTGCAAGTATACAAACACTTGTATTTCCGAAGAATAAATAAATTAACAATATCCCGTGATGCTTACTGCATTGAATGGATGACATTTTGCTGGTAAAGGGAGCCGCGATGGAAGCGTCGCCGAGTTTTACGATCACGGGTTGGTCTTGTGCCTCGTTATCAATATCTTTCAGGATCTTCTGCAGTTTTGCACGAGAGCCCCCCGATGTCATTCTAGAATTATTTCTTGGTCCGTTGTTTATGAGCGACATCAAAGTATCGTTCCTTGGATCTTCTCGCTTTTCAGTAACCACTCTCTCGGGCGGACTGGACAGAATTGCGACACCTACCAGGGAAAAGGAAAGAAAAACAAGTACATTCAAATTTTATCGCACTCTCTTCGTCAACTTACCCACTTGTGCGTGTTTCAAAGCTCCGACATCATTCGTTCCGTCACCGCACATCAACGTCATATAGCCTAAAGATTGTAGCGATATAATAATGAATTCTTTTTGCTTCGGTGCACATCGTGCAAATATTACGATGTGCGGCAAGAGTTTCCAAAGAAGTTCCCGTTCTTTTTCCTTCAGATACGATAAACCCTAGAAAAGTCAATTATGCAATAACAATCATTGTAATTCCAACAGAAAAAAGTCGACATTTTTGTTTATTTACGTACTTCACCCGTCATACAAAGCGCGTATTCTTTCCAGATCTCTTTTCGCGATTCAATATTTTTCGCACTTAGAGGAAGCTGCGTCTTTTTGTCTATGCTTTCCCACAGCCATTCGTCATCATTCTTGGTTAGTATAAGTGTGCTAGGCTTCTTCATGAAATGTAGCTCGCGACTTACATGACAAGCCGTCAAAGGATTATCACCCGTTATCATCACGACCTAAATAATTATATTAAACTCGTTGAGTTTTTGGTAATTATGTAAAATTTTTTTTGAGACTTTTATCAACGACGTCTCAACAAGCGTCGCATACATACCGAATGTGATGAATTGACGATTTCTTTAATGACAGTTTTCGAATCAGACTTAAGAGGACAGCTAATGATGACAAATCCCGCAAATGTGAGATTATTCTCTAACTTTTCACGAGTTAATTCTCTTAACTCTTGAGAGGAGAAGCTACCAGTAAGTTTTCGATAGCCCAAAGCGAGAACTCTTGCACCGCGTCGTGAAAGAGATAAGTAGATTGAATCGTAATTTTCTGGCACAGAAGATAACTGAAATGAAACAGATTATATCAATAACAACAAACACAAAAATCAATTAAAATTGTGGACAAATGTTATTTTACTCACCATATTCTTCAGTGTTTCTGGCGCACCTTTTACCGTAGCCATGTAATGTACGTCTGAAGCTCCAGGAAGAGTATATCCAGCTACAACGCACATTCTTTTCAAAGCCGATGAAAAATGATACCTCTGTACAATTTTCAATGCGGGCGATTTGCCCTTTTTAGGAATTACAGAATCACCTAAACGAAACATTAGTATGAAGTAACGTATTAACATTTTTGTATTATATTTTATTTGCAAATTTATACCCACTTTTCGTGAGATTCCAATTGACAGCTTTGAGAGTAGCTTTTTCTAGCGGATCCCCAACGATACCATCGTCTAATTGAACAAGGGAATGACACGTGGCGAGTACTTGAATGCTCTCCAAAGATGCATCTGATATTTGGATTACGTCCGGCTTACCGCTTTTAAAAAGAAAAAGATTAAAATCATATTTCCTAATAGCGCGAAGATTACTCGAAGATAATAAAACGGATTGTAGTTTCTTACTTCATTCCAGCGATACCCTCTACAACCAAATTATCACTGGTAAGTGTACCGGTCTTATCGAAACAACAAATATCGACTTTGCCGGCGAATGGAATTCTGAACGGTTCCGTGCAGAATACACCTGCAAAGAAATATGATAATTTTCATACGTAACTCATAGAAGGATGTATTACATGTATTTCTTACTGAAATTATTTTTGACCCAGGTTCTTAAATCAGTATCAAACTTTTCGTACTTTTAAATGCAATATAGAAAAATCTGTGATTTTTTCATGTTTTATACATCCTTAAGCTTTTGGTAAAGTAAATCTGTTTTAAATACCTAATTTGGATAGAGCTACCAGAGACGTGTTTACAGCCAGAGATAATTCTATAGGTAACTCTGGTGGAACAACAGACGTCAAAATTAATGTGCATTCCAAAAATAATTTATACTTGTTCCTTGTAGGATCCTCGCTGCCTAAATTAGAAATTTGTACATGTAAATATTCATCATAGTTCTCACTTTTATGTATAACAATCGAATTACCTTTGATCCAAACATACACGGCGGCAGCAATTGCAAAAATAAGTAAAAATAGAATGAAGCCGAAAGTTTCTAAATTATTGGCTGTAACGCGTTTAACGCCGAACAATATCGTTCTTAAAAGTTTTCCCTGTGATGTGGAAAAGCCGGTACGTAATACGTAAGCAATACATCCATTATCGGTCGCTGAAATATCACGCATTAATGTCGTAAGTAATAATAAAATGAGTGAGACCGTCAAGTGAAAAATAAAATTTATTAATACCTCGAAGACCGGGAGTAGTTTTGCTAGGAGGTGTATGCTGTACAACTTTTGTACCACCGAAAAGCACGTGAAGTTTATCATCTCCTTCGATATTTATAATTCTACTCCCATCAATATCTTCTACAGGTTCTTTCATTTGAGGTACAGATTCACCTAGACATTTCTCTCTCTCAGTTGCTATGATCTATGTTGGTGATTTAAACACATTACTAGCTTGTTTAAAGTACCTGTTAACATGCTTTCGTCAACTACGCAGGGGCCTCGCAAAAGCAACATATCGCATGGCACTAAATTATCATGTTGAGGCCTTGTAATGGAGACAATATCTCCAGGAACTAGTTGGTCTGTAAATAACGAGCGCCATCGCCTATTTCTATATACCTAAAAGAGAAAAAAATAAGCGTGAACGAAATTCGCTCGAAATAAGCAAATCGCAAATAGACAGTATTCGTATTCGTACCATTATCATGTAAGGTTTATTGCCCATTTTACGAATCTCGGCCATATTTTTTAATTGTTGTTGAACCAGTGTACACTCAAACATGATAAGCATGATCAATGTAAAGATACTATAATACCAATATTTATCTAAGCACCATAGTGCCACACAGAATACTTGAAAGACGAAGAATGGAGCAATAGCACGCTCTTTAAAGAGCTCCCAGAATTCTGGTACATCCATGTCCAATCTAGAATAAAAAAAAGAATATTTTCAGCGAGATAAAAGGTGCCTTGCAAGGAACAATTGATGCAAGGAATTGTTCACACTATACTTGTTTTTCCCATATTTTCCTTCTGCTTTCTTAATTTCGTTTTGATCCAGATACCCTTTCCATTCAGAATAATGTTTCACGGAATGATTGATTGGGAACTGCAACCCTTTGAATAATTTTTTATCCGGGTCCCAGTAATATTTTGTCTTTTGAAAAATGAACCAAGGTTCCTGCTCATCCGTGTGATGTAATAAAATCAGCTCCGAGCTGCCGTTGTTTGGGGTGGGAACCACTTTGACTATCCTGGCTTTGTATGGATCTTCCTCCTGAAATTTCATTTACGGAATAGAAGAAAGGAATATCGCAAAATAAAATGCTGAAGTGAGATTCCATGTTCAAGGCTTATCTTTCGCGATGTTCGAATGTACCGCCGAGGTGTCACGTGATCGGCACTAGCAGACGACCGGCCGTTCGAATGGCAACCAAGTTTATGGAACATATTGGGGCCACGAAGAGCCACGTGCCCGTTATTTGAGACAAATTGAAGAATAACTGCCACTTACCGAGCTGCAGTTTATGAACGTATGGATGTGCACCGACCATTGACAGCATAGGCATAGAAAGATCTGCAGCATGCCGATCGCTGCGATGCCCACCAGGCCCGCGTCATAGTACTCGTCAACGCCATAAACGAAGATCCAACAGTAGATCCACAGGGACTGCAGCATCACGAAGGGCAGGATGTAACCGTTGAACACCCATTTTCGTGGATTGTGCAGGCTGACGGATTGCACGAGATCATCTACTAGCGAGGAGGTCGCCGCCATGATTCCGCCGACGACGATTAACAAGTCGTCACAACGGGCGAGAAACGTTTTAACGTCCAACAAACTTTAAGCACCATTCACATCAGGAGATCCCCTCAGATCCCCTTTAAACACACGATCCGTTCGGGCGATATAACGCGAGCTGGGTGATCGCGTTTCGCATATGCGGAGATTCAAAGAGAATGAACGAGCCGACTGTTGCTGACTGCGCCGCAGGGTTATGTTAAAAGTTGGAATGGATGAGAAGTGTGCCAGCAGCTCTAATGCGGCAGATACAGCTTAGCAGTCCTAACGCGAGTATTTCTCAGTAGATAACACAGTCCTGCGCTAAATGCGAGCATGCACTTCAAGCGCCATCATCGTATCACAAGTACAACTCCAACCTAAAAATGAACATGGCTGTAAAACCGCTGTATTTGAATGTTAATTTTCCTAGATTAAGCCAAATGAAGGAATTCATGCGGCGCGCTTTATCTTTCTGAAATATAAAAAATTTTCCTTATCTGTTGATTCATCTTTATATTCTAGTCGCAATCTGTTTGCAACAAACGCAAACGATTATTTAAATCCTTATATTTTGAGAATGTTAGAAGCATTTTTGATGTTTCATGTAAATAAAAAATATGATTGACTGTTCAAAATACTAACGATAGAGTTTCAAATAAAAGTTCCAAATAATAATAAAATATAATTATGTAATGATGTGTCTCTCCTTCCTCTGCAATTATAAGACTATTTTTTATATTTTAGATTACTGAATGCTCCGTAAATAATGATCGGGAAATATAATTTCAGACTATATGTATTGAAAGAAATACTACTATATGTATTTAAAGAAAATATTATAACTTTATTTCTTAGATCAACTATTTTAAAACAGGAGAATATTCGAAATATTATATTTAACGTTACTTTCACTCAACTTTTAAATATTTGGCATTATTATCTTACAGCGAGTGATCTCAAATTTTCACTAAAAGACAATCTATTTTCTTAAAAACTTGTAGCAAAAGACGCGTGCATATCTCACGTAAAAGAAAAGAAATTTTACCGATTTCTGTCTACTAAACTTCACTATACTAAGCTTCAATATAAGAATTAGCATTTCTCTTTCTCTTACCTGACGCACTAGCTCCGTCACATAATCAAGATGTATCCGTGTCATCCGGAGAAAAAACTTAGTTCACGCTGTCATAAGGTCGATGAATCCCTCGCCGCACGTATTCCAGTGAAAGTATGTGTCCGCCTACCCCACCTCGGGCACCGCAGAACTCGTGCACGTCGCCCGAGGAAGGGGCCAACGCACAGGTATACCCATGTATCCCACACGTTGCTAGGTAGACTCGCGGCGCGTAGAACCGAATCGCGCCAGTATCTGGACCCAGTGTCGTGGACACTTTCGAATCACGCTGGCCAAAAGTGGAAAGACGTCCATTATGGTTGACCGTACTCTATCATAGACGGTGCGACAACGAGCCACGCGCAACAATTACAACAATAGAATCAAAACGGAAGATTTGCCTTCTTTCGGCTTAAAGTCCTCAAAGTCAACGCGGATCGAGATTCGGCCAACGAACGCAAGCTGTCGTTTATTTGAAAAATTCGAAGGTATAATATATCGAGCGCGGAACTCAATTCGATTTTGTCCTTAACGGGGTTTTCTGTCTCTTACGATCATCCTCTGGGCAGCGATCCTGGGTCGGATCGGGTTATCGTTTATCGGCGGTGACATTGGCACGGCGATTGATCAGCACGCGATGCCAATTAAGTGACTTCGCGGGCTCCTTCCTGCCGAGACACCTGCCGTGCTCACCACAGGAGAGAAGGTTCTATCACGGAGGGGTGAATCATAACGATAGATCGAAATGGCGTTCGCGTGGCATCTAATATCAATCGTAAGTGATCGGTCTAACATAATATTAAAAATAACCAATCGCCGATCATAACAGAACATCAAAGAAGCTGTATTTAAATCTGATGTAACGTTCTTTCTATTAATTGCACGTTGTACATCTTTCTAATCGCGGTTTCCATTGACTCATCTTGATTAATAGCTATCGTATTTTTATCTGCCGATCGAATTACGTGTAGGCTGAATCAGAGCCGATTAATACCGTCGCAAAAAGCACGCGTTTGTACCATAGTACAGGAAGTATCCTGATAAGCGATCAATTACAAGTCGGTGCAGTATTTCACAATAACTGGTCCCACATTATACATTGCGCTTAGTCGACACTAGTGAAGATCTCGTGTTTCATCTACGTGTATTTGACCGCAAATTCAAAATGTGTGTAAGCTATACTTTTACATGCGTACGAAGAGAATGAATACTTTTGCGTATATAGAATTAATAGTCAAAAATGAAATTTAAAAATAGGCACTTTTTAATTTATCGAAATACATCTTTTTCTGAATCATTTTATTATGATATCTTGTTTGTACCAACAGTTTTTCTTAATGGTTACTTGGGGTGAACCTTGCACGGAGTATGGATGTCCAGGACGGCCGCAGTACGAACCCTTCGTACCCGCGCCTCCAGGACTCACCCCCCAATGCGCGCCACCGGGGCAGACCTTCTGCGAAACCCCAGATCATTATCCTCGGTAAGTGCCCTTAGAATTCCTCGTCCCCCTTTTCTCCTAAAAATATCGCTGTCCAGCCGGCGGCGAGTGGTAACGCAACAAGTGGAAATCTGCGACGATCCGGTCGACCCATTTTCAATTGTTGATATTCCTTTCGCTGCGTCCACCGTGTCCACCTTCCGCCTTCTTCCATGCATACAAATGACCGACGCACACGTTGAGAAAAACTTCTGGAGGGGAAAGTCCGCTAACTCTCCTCTCTTCCTTAGAGGTGAGAATCCGTTTCTCGAAAGCATCGAGTTTTGCCTTAATAGGCTTACACAACCAATTTTTTATGCCGGATCTACTCTCGCTTAGCATAAAATAATGCATAAAATGATTTTTGTCTCTCATCTTTTATAACCGCGATTTAGCCCAAGAGAACTTCATCTTTGCCGCAATGGGATCATAGACACGAAATGTTAGAGCGTTAGTTACCCTCCGCTTGTGCTGTTCTCGTGCTACGTATGCAAGTCGATTTCCTAAATTTCTGCGTGCACTTTCACACTTAAGTCCTATTCTGAAGATGTTAGGATGAGTTACGTAAAGTGAGCGGCAACTATAAAGTAAGAACGTCCGTGAGATCGTTGCTCAGCGTACCATGACCATGGCCTTGGCGCGGTCATACTCTGTTGGATAATTATTGGGCCCGTTATAATATCCCAAATCGAGGGATACCCCTTATCGTACTAAAAATGCTGGCAATTCTTTCTTCTCCAATGGACAAATCGTTCTTTCGAAACGATCTCAAACATTTGAATGGATAACACTCGTATTGAGCACTCATGAATCGTGCACGATTTCGGATAAGTTTGCAGGAAATAAATAATGAAACGGGCAATGTACAAATAAAACGGTGGTATTTTAACGTACAAAACAAACTCTTTTTTTTAAACAATTCGAACATTCGAAAATATTGCTGATACTGTATTCTGTCTCATGCAATTTCAAAATCTTTTAGCGCCGTGTAATGAGATAAGATAGGGTCTTTTCGATAAGTTGCAACGATCCCACCGCAGCAAGGTGAATAATTTTAACTGGAGAAACTTGGGACTACAGCTGTCACTTCCGATAATTATACATGTACGTAAGAACGACCTGAGCAACGGTCAATTAGTCTGACAATATCAAATTGCTGACTCAAGTCGGCGTATCGCGCGTGTCATTTCACCGCAAACAAACACACTGCATGTCGCCTCGCTAATGCTTGCTCAGACCTAACACAGTTGCGCAATGCCCAATTGAGAACGCACCTGCGTAAATAACCTTTTGTCAACCTGGAAGAAAGACGAATCTCGGTCGTCCAGTTGAGAGACAGAATGGCCGGTATCTTTGATACGCGTTGCAGCAAGATCTCTGTTCGCGCGCGAGGCCAAAGATCGAATGTAATATCCTCGAGAGAATGCATTACCCGTTTTTATCAACGCATTGTATTCCGTTCTCGACAGAGGTAACGGTTTCTTTCTTTTTCCTTTTTATTTTTCTTTTTTTTTTAGACAACTCATCAAGTTTCTCGCCGACAAATGCAGCTTCGACTTTAACACCGCGCTGCAAGATGAATCCCGCGACGATTTCAACTCTTACAGGTATATTTTCAGTACAATTGAAATACTGTGATATATATATATATATATATGTAAAAGAAACTTATACACACAAGAGACTCAGATAAGTACGAATAACTCACTCGTTTTAATAATTTCTATCATTAGAGACGTTGACTTATAATTGAGACGTATCACAACAAAACATTATAAGTGCCAAAGTTATGAATATATTTTATTGCATGAATTGTAAGTATTGTGTTCTATCACATATTTGGCGCGAAAAATGCTACAAACGGAGAGTTTGCAACACATAATGTTGTATGTCCATTGTGCAATTGGCATTTTTATTTGGACTTACGTTTTGACTGACATTTTTTAGAATTATGCAACCTTTTTGATTTGCATTTTTAGTTTGACTTATATTTGAATTTTTAACAACTTTAACACAATTTTTTAAAAATTAGAATTAAAAATTAAAATTTTTTGCAGCGACTGATTGTTCATATCTTTAGTTATTACGATAATTTTTGAAGTAGTTTAAAAAAAAAGTTTTTCCTTTCACTTGAAAAATTGAAAAATAGCACAATGTTTTGCTTTGATACATTTCAATTAATAATTTATTTGAATGTTACTGATATCTTCACATATATCCTTTTTATTATCATTTTTAAGTTCTCCTCCGGATTATAATCAAGGCTATGATTATCCACGACAAGACGATAGTCAATTATACTCGCAGTCTCCTCTTGGAGGAGAGCCAGCTTCAGTGTATGGACCACCATCCAATAGTAGTCGTTATCATGGGTAAGGCTTACGTATTTATATGTGAAATTATCATATATAATCTATATGAGATGAGATGAGATGAAAAGACAAATAATGATATAAGCAAAGTAAAATGATATTACGAAGTTTGAATTTCGATTTGTCGAATTGCAGTTACAAATATTCTGCACCGCCATACTCGCAAAGAAATCCTTTCCTTCCGGAAGTAACGCTGAAGTATCATCACGACGTCCAACGACAAATCAATCGTGCTCATTCGCAAGAATCCATAAATGTATTTGAGTCGAACCAATCGTGGCTGACGAATAGGTACGAAATATCGCGCGGAGAAAACGATGACTTTACTCCTTATGTATATATACATATAATACCTACAGTAAGTGCAAAAAATATTCGTACAGGCAAGATATCTTTTTCAAAAACCTTATTTTTAAAAAGTAAACATCAATTAGCAATTTATTCACAAAAAATAAAAAAAATAAACGATATTCTTTCAAAAATTATTTTACCTAAAATATATATTATT